GATGCGCCCCGATCCACAGCAGCGAAACGCATCAGGCACAAATAAAAGAATAAAAGACAGAAAACATAAAAGGAAATGAGCCGACATGAACGATCACGTGTTAAATTAGTTTTTGAGGTGGCGACACCTGATTTTATAATGTTACTGTGGCCGTGCTCAGGACGCAGATGTCTGGAGCGCGTCAACAATCAGAGCTTTGCATGCGCAAGCTGGTTAAGGTTAGGATGTGGGTGAGGGGAATGTTAAATTGCAAGAGGGTAAATGTCGCAATTTGGTTAAATGTCAGTTTTACGGCGGGTGTCAGTACCGACGCTCTGGCACAGCACATTGCCTCCCGACGCGCAGGAGCTTGTCACCTGCTGACAGCAGGCTTCTGTCTTTTCTGTGGACTGCATCTTGCCAGTCATTATTACATGACAGCGACTAGTCGATGACAGGCATAAAAAGTCACTATAGAGCGGTGACGTCGACTAGTGACTAGTTCATACAACCCCTGCTACTGCTCCCCAGAGTGTTCTGCAGCATAATCAGCACGTTCTCTTTGAACTTGATATCAAATTTTCGCCTCCTCTTCGTCTCCGCACGGTTAAGGTTACCCTTGCGGTCTATCACTGGCAAATCAAAAGTGAGACGGATGACACAACCGCCCCCCGTACTTGCTTGTGCCACCCGGCCACAATAAAAAACCGGCCATTATTCACCTCCGCCGACTCCGACACCAGCCAAAATATGATACCCGGCAGTTAATTAAATACAGGCTAATATTAGAGGATTTACGGTAATTCACCACACCTGCTCCTCCTGCTATATAAGATCCATCCAGCTACCCAGTCATTGCCAGGTTATTGAAAGCCCTGCAAGTAAATTCTCCAGCCTGTCACTCACCTTGTCTTCTGATCCCAAACCCTGCTCCATTCCCGACCTCGTCTTTTGAATTTACCCTGTCTGCTCCGTTGCTTCTCTGATCCTCTGGCTCCGATCCTGCTCCATCCCCGACTTTGCTTCTTGGATTTCCCCTACGGACTATTTTCACTTCAGACCTCCTGGCAACGACCTCCTGCCTCCTGACCTAGCCTCTGCCTCTCTCCTTTTAATAAACTTCATTAAACTGTCATTCTGTGTTGGGTGTTTTTACGGATCCGTCAGTCAGCTCGTGACAGAATAATCTGGCCACAATGGATCCGAACCCAACATCAGAGTGGCGTGTTAGTGTGGAGACAGCTGTAAACAAACTGGAGAACAAAACTGAGGAAATGCTAAACCTGCTACGAGCTAACCAACAGAGATCAGCCAGCTGCTTCCGGTTTAACTCCAGACTCCGCCATCCTGCCCCGAAGTTCTCCTATTCATGAGCCACATCTGGTTCCGCCTAAAGTTTTCCAAGGTGAATTGAAGAACTGCCGTGTATTTCTTACACAATGTGAGATCCAGTTTGAGCTATAGCCCTCCTCTTTTCCCACGGAGCGAACTTTCCGAATCCAATGCTTAGACATTGAGTATAGCGAACATACATGAATGTGCTGAAGGCACATGTATTTGCTGTCAAAATCAAGCTATTTGCTGTGATGGGCTTTGCAAGTGGTTACCATGGTGAAAATTAGCACACAAAACCGCCTGTGTTGATTACCCTTTTAGAGATATGGGAATACAAATAGCAGTAGTTAATCTTGTTTAGGAAACACAAATTCATTGTGACAGCTTGGCTGCTTAGGCCCTGCGGAGTGTTGCAGTGAGAATTGAAAGGACTGATTGTAAAAGAGGAAGAAAAGTGGACTACCATAAAGATGAGGAAAAAAAGTGTTTCAGGGTTTAGTTTGGGTTGAATGTAAAGTCTGGGTATTGCTCAAATCTAAAGTACTAAAGCAAACTTCTAGGCTTTGGGTAAAATGTTGCCTTGGTGTTTTTTTTTTAATTATCCAATAAACATGCAGAGATATTGGAACCATAAAAAATGTGCAAAATCAAACACACACACACACACACACACACACACACACACACATACAGGGCCGGCTCTAGGTGATTTGGTGCCCAAGGCAAGAGTGCCCATTTGCCCCCCCCCCCCTTTTTATTTTATTGAACTTTTTTTTAATCTGTTCTATGAAAACATGAATACAATTATCAAAAACAGGTGGAAGTGAGAGCATCCTTGGGGAATATTTGAAAAAACTTATGTCTCATTCTCAGGTGCTCTTCAGCATCAAATAAATTGTAGAATATGAGAAAGAAGAACCGGTGATCTGAGACACTCTGAGGATTTAATTTATTAAACAAGGAAACGCCGATGCGTTTTGGTACGACCTTCTTCAGGGCATTAACCTTTATGCCTTGAAGATGACTCACTATGTCACAAAAACTAATGTCCATCCCTTTTTTTTTTTTTTTTTTTTTTTTTACAAATTTACAGCCTAATTGACATTAACATCTTAAGGAGACAATTTCAGATGTGTATGTTCAGATTATTTAATATTCTCAATGCTAAATCAATGCTGCACTCATTGTGCCAAAAACAAGTGTCTGGTGTGGATTTAAATTAATTAATTTTGCACATCGATATATGTGATAAGCCGTTTAATTTGGAAAAGTCCGCTTCTACTGCTGATTACAAATAGCCTAACAAGTAACTTACTCACCTGGTTCTAGATGCTGAGATTGTAGCTCAGTAAATGTTCTGCTGCTGCTTGATGCCTGGATAGAAGACGCTGCAGCGAAAACAAGAACGAGACGGCTTAAGATGTCATGCTGTGTTTTCGGCAGAGCGATAGGCAGTTCTCACTCCCCGCCGGGCCCGGCGGCAGCGGGGAGTCCCCGCCACGGCCGCGGCGGTGCCGCCCGCCCGATGTGTTGAAATTTTGCTACACCCACACCTAACGTTCTTCTGATATGAAAATATTAAATTCATATTGTATGCGTACTTAAAACTTGAATCGAAGTTCATAAAAAGGCTGCAATCATACTCAAAAAAACGGTTAAAAAAATCTTACATTCTTCATCATCACAGTGAGACTCAACAGGTGTAGAAGACAGTCCCGCCCCCCTGGTGTCAACAGGTGCCTGTCGACAGGCTGCAGATATTGTCTCACTGCGTCTGGACACGACGATTCAAAAGTAACATTAATTGGTTTAAGTTACGAGATACTGTATTGTGTATGTAAACAGCTAGCGAGGGTCCGTCCGTGGACCGTGCGTGGCAGGAGAGGCAGTTAGCTAAAATGGTAACGCAAAAAGTTCCTTTGCCAAATTTATAAAGTCTACATACCTCTGCTTTGGGCCCGTTTTTTTTTTTCTTCCTCCTTCCTTCGCTTTGGGAATGCTGATCCCGATGGCTTAGGTGTTCTTTTCATCGTAAAAGATATCAAAAGTTTAAATGCGACAACAGGATGTCCTTCTACAGTGCTACCCACGCACATGATCAACAGCAGTGGTTCCCAACCTTTTTCCCAAGGGACCCCTTTTTTACCAGTAAAATTTTTGACGACCCCCTCCCATTCTCTCTTCCAGTACAAACATTAATAAGAAATGATAAAATTATTCAAGCACATTTTAATATGCTTTGATTCAATAGATAACAGTAATAGTAGGCTCCAGAACAGAACAAAGTCATTAACAAAACCAAACAGAGCATAATGTGCTTGACAGTTTGTGTTACTTTTCTGAAAACATTGTTTCTTGTAAACACTGATTAATCAATCATTCCTTTCAATAAATGTTTGACACATAAAAAATACACTGAGCAAAATGTGCTTAAATATTACTGTTTATACTAGATTATTTACTGTAAACGCTGTGATTAATCAACCAGTCCTATCTTTAATGAACTTTTGACACTTGAAAATAAAACAGTGAGCTGAGCAAAATGTTCTTAAAAGTGTGTTACTTTTTCTGTACTAATTATTTTCTGTCTTAATATCAGTAAACTTTGCACTCATGAAAAAAATGTGTGCACAATGTAGGCTATAAACAAGTACTAAATGAAGTTTTAACCCCTTAAAGTGGAGAGGTCCTGGCGACCCACTGAGAGGCTTTGGCGCCCCCTTGTGGGGGTCGGGACGCCCAGGTTAGGAACCACTGATCTACGGCACCCTTAATGGTCAAATGCATTGGAGCGGTGGCCCAAGCGGGAGCTCGTCATGCAGCCAGATCGTTCGAATTTAAATATTGATGTTTTAATTTCATGTCATTTCAGAGGGGAATTTTGAGTATGTAGAGAGTGCATTTCATATAACAAACATAAATTTAATAAACTTTTTTTTTTGCACCCTATCCATCAGATGGCGCCCCAGGCGGCCGCCTGTGTCGCCTGTCGGCAAAGACACACACACAAACTTAACACCATATAGCTGCATATATCCGGATTGCAAGTATTAAATGGTGTAATCATTTTGATAGAGCGGTAATACAAACCGATAACACCAGAGAAATTAACACTGCTGATATAATGCCTTAATGATTACAAATAGGTCTAAAAGGGCAAAATAGAGCACCTCCCTTGGGCTAACTTGCATCATATAGAGTACTGTATGATTTCATTAGGATGGAAACAGATCAGTAAAGCAGTGCAGTGAAGTGGATCTTTAATAGTACACAGTGAGAAGCATAAAGTGGTTCTTTTTGAAATTGTGTACGAAAAAATTTTATCTAAAAGAGTTCTTTCTGCAGAAAACAGAAAGGAAGTTTGAAAATAAATAGTTTTTGCATAGCTTACACACCTGCACACACGGCAAACACTTAACAAATCATGAGATTCAAACAAGGGCAGGCGATGTATGATTGTAAACTGTGTAAAAGAGTGGGAATATTTTTTCCTGAAAACATAAATATGTTTTAGAACTTTTAGAACAAACACCGTTTCAGTGAAATCTCTGGCAACGAGTTCCACTTGAAAAAATAAATAAATATAAGATTTACTAATATAACAATGTTTACAGTCGAAAATGTCTTTTATTGCAAGTTTCAATTGTATATGAGTTCTAGATTAGATAGAGGTACTTTTGTACAGTATATGTTTCCTCCTATTTGGCCTCCAGTGCAAACTCATTAGTTGTTAAACAGTGGGTTTTTTTTCTTAATGAAGTTCATATTAATTTGTTGTTTCTTTAGAACAGACCGGAACAGAATAGACTTTATTAATCCCATAGTGGGGGAATTCACTCTTTACAGCTGCACAGACACTTAAAGGAGCATGGGGCAGGAATTGTCCAAAAACAAGAAGTAAATAGGATACATGTTCATTCTTGTGAAGCTTATGGGTGATGAAGCATTTTAAACTAAAAAGAATGATGAAACCAGTTTATCATTCCATTTTGTTAATCAGGCTGTGTGCTGCAAAATGCAAAACATTCCTGATCCGAATTTCCCGCACTGTTTTACGGATGTGACGTTAATTGACGCTTCAAGCGCGTTCTCGACAAGGTTCAAACCCGGAAAAATATTTGGAAGCTTGCTAGGTGGCGGTAATGCGTCTTTCACTACTAGCCACGTTAAAACCTCAAACAGAAGAGGAAGAACCCTGGAAATGGATTCTACAACTAGCAAACGACCAAGCGCAACTCAAAGCCCACTAAAGTGGCACAAAGAAGAAGGTTTTATCAGCAGCATCTCGAGAGTCAAAAAGAAAATATAAAAGTCGGTCAGGGACCCGAATATGTATTGGGTACGCTCTGGAAGAATGAGGCTGGTTCAACTCAATTTGGGCCTGAAAAGGATGCAGACATGGCACATTTTCTAGTGACCAGGTAAGTGTTGTACTACCTGGTCTCCTTATGTCTGCTGTAGGTTTCAGTAACGAGTAGGTTAACATGTCAGAGCTGTATCTCCACAATTTAAGAACATAAAATAAAACCTATGGATTTAGATAATACTGATTTAGGTAATCTAACAAATCTTTGTGCGGATGAACAAGAAACTTATCTAAGCTAACGTTGTTTAGCATATGGCTTCCTGATCAGTTTGAAAAAGCTAAAAGCAACTAAGGAGTAATCGATCACTTCTACGTTTTGTGGACGACACACCGCTTGTGTTTGGAGATAAATGGATGCTCCGTTTATTCTGACGAGAAACGTAAACAGAGCTTGATTTGATTATATGATGTCACCGATCAGCCGGAGAGAGCTAGCGTGCGTAGCATGTTAGCTGTGCTCACGCTTCAGTTTGTATGTACCACAGAAGAGAACGGACATTTTCCAAACCAAAGATGAGTCTTTAGAATTATGTCATATTTGATCCACAGTCCAACCTCTAAGCAGGACTGTTACTTCAGTAGATAATGTTATTCGTGGGGTTTGTGTAACAGAAGCCCATTGGAATATCTTTTCCTAACGTTAGTGCTGTGCTACAAAAGAGTAAATAACTAGTCAGCCATTACTACATGTTTTACTAAAAGTAAAGTTGTGCAGAAGTTTGTGTTTATTTTTCTAAATTTGCCCTGTTGAATGTAGGTCAGAATAAAATATGTTTGTGAAAATGATAAATACATTTTTTTTATGACTGACCTGCATTTTCATATTACTAGTTGTGCCACAGGTAAAGATGCTTAGCCATTATTGATCTATGTAAACAGAAGGTGTAGAGTCTCAACCAACTTGTTGACATTTTTGTTTAAAAATGTGTTTTCCAGCTACCGGAAGAAGCAGGCTCCTGAAACTGCAATTCAGGGAGGTAATGTGCAGTCAACCTCGACACCCAGTAAGCGAACAGCAGCTAAAATGTCGCATCGATTATCTCCAACTGAACCTGTGTCTGAGGGGTTAGTATATTTTCTGTAAAACAAATATTCACGTTTTTGTGCTATGATATTTCATACATTAAATTACACCTTGCATATCCACACTTGGTTCAGAACTAACATCACACCACCAAACACTTCTGACATTATCTTTACAGGGAAGATTTTCTAATGGCTGGTGTTGAGGCCTTAGCTGATGACCTAGATTTGGATCCTTTTGAAGAAAGGTAAATTTGTTCATGAGAAGTCTTGCCATATATGCAGGAAATTACTGCTGTACTATGTGCAGAAAAGATAAAAACACAATAGATAAGCAAATATAGGTCATTATATATATTTATTTATGTTGTGAAGTGTCAATTCACAGCAGATTGTTGTTATTTGCAGGAAGAATTAATGACAGATGTATTAGGCTCCACATTTATCTCTTTAGAATCAGTACCATTTCAGGTGAGTTGAGTACCATTGAGGTGAGTATTGTGTTGTCTGTAGTTTCAAATCCATGGATCTAGCTACGGATGCAGTCCAAATATTTGAGGACCAAGCAAACAACTTACTCAACAGTGTGTGAGTTGCAATGTCTTCTTATCTACACTGTTTTTTTAAACTCCAAAGTCTAAAAACAATATATTAATTCTACTTTTATTTATTGTTTTCATAACAGAATAGAACTGTTATGAAAACTTTGTCAGGCTGACGAAGTTTGCAGCCGCAAACAAAACATTGCAGGTAAATAAAACCCTTCTATGTTTTAAAAAGAACTAAAAGATGGAATTGTTGTTTTATCCTTGTTCACAGGCTGGGATCCTAAAGGGAATTTCCATCCTACTTGTGTGGCTGAAGGACATCGTCAACCAATTTTGGTACATTTGCCAGAAAGCACAACATCGTGATATGTTTAATGTAAGTATTGTGACATCTTTTGGACAACAAGACAACAATGCACATTGACATAATTACCTTTCTTTTCATAATAGTGCCAGCTCTCGTGTGTCTGTTGGTGAGCGCTTCTGTCACATGTAAAGTTTTCAAGTAAAACTTATTTTTTCTGTTAGGACATGTGGGTGGGTGTGCTTCACCATGTCACAGGGAAGCATGAATGGACCCGTGGCAAATGTGAGCATGGACCACTTGATGCAACGACCAGTGATAAAGAGCTCATGGTACCATGATCTCCACCACACGAGGCTCTTCAACGAATCATGTTTAACAGACGCTGGTTGAAGGATGTCACCAATCTGACCTTTAGGTATATTAATAACATTTTCATAAGCAAAAAATCTAAAGTGTCAATATCAAAGCTGACGATTTACATATAGAAATGACAATTGTGGGTGAAAAGGCAATCAAAAGTGTGATTCCTAATAATCTATAAAGTTGTAGCTTTTGTTTTTCTTACAGGTCAACTTCAGAACTGGAGAGTTTCCAGAACTGCATTCTCATGTAATCTATGTATGATCTAATGCTGCTGTTCTCCTCTCTCCATAAAGGCCCCAGCTACGTGAAGCATCAAAAGATAGGAAAGACTTCTTTCATGCACACAGATTTATTAGAAATTAAGAAAAACTACTATGTACAAATGCAAATAACAGAACTTTTTTGTACATAAATAAAAATAAATATATTGCACAAACTGTTTATTTTGGGTGAAAATGCTGTCTTCAGCTAAAGTTATTTTGATGTATTGTGCTGTTTTGGAACTACGGTAGTTGTAGATAAACGGTTTGGATTTTTGGGTTAGGGTGCCCTCAGTCAGGAAGATGGTGTCCTGGCGTCTCTTGCCGAAACTCCAGGATATCCAGCATCACCCCTGGAAGACGGGTCACCACTCTCTGGAGAATATAATCTCTCTCCTCCTGGCTCAGGTGTTGTAAAGCTGTCTAGAAATTAAAGAGCATATGTTTACATGACTAGATTCATATCTCCAGTGAGTGATGTTTTAGTTTTTGGCATCTCTATTATTTTATTTTATTTTATTTTTTACACAAATGGCTACAACCAACCTGCATCTCAGCTATACTGGCAGCTCTCAGCTGTGCAAGCCGGTCTCGGCCCTCTTCTCTGAAAGCTGTTCGCTGCCTACCCCGGCGCCCTGGTCCTCTTGAAGGAGCTCTGGACCTCAACCTGCTGCCCTCACCCCTTGAGCGTGTCCTTCCCCGACCCTCGGAGCGACCTTTTCCTCTCCCCTTTCCTTTAGCCCCTGGTCTCAGACTTTCCCACGACACATCAAAGTCTGTGGCAGGCTCAGGCACTTACTCCTCATCTGAACTGTCTTCCATCACTCCTTCCAATGTGAATTCCTGAAAATCAATGACAGTAATGAAAAATGACTGTATTACCCTGTAGGTCTTGTTGATATTATGATTTTATTTTGAACTAAATATTGATATTTATGTTCTTATTTACATTGTTGTGATGCCTGTCCTGTAATGAAATTGGTTTCACAAATGATGTCAGTGACTTGAAATTGGATGTTCTTACATGATGTATAAACAATAACATTAGCTTGTTAGTAAGCTTAGTGCAAAATAATAACTGTAATTTGTCTAAAAACATCAGAAATCACCTGCAGCCACAAAGCCTTATGCTAATAAAGTAGCATCATGTTACTGTCTTGCTCGCCAGTCACAAAACTGGCTTATGAATATTTCATAGGAAGGAGCGCTTGCTTTACATCACGAGTGTCATGGCTAAATTAAAATGCTAATGTTGTCATGGAATTTTACAAATATTAGACTAAATTAACAATGTTACTTACTTCATCGCTCGACAAGGTGCCTTGTTCGAGCCGCGCTCTGGCCGTACATTACTGTAACTTTTTTTTCCTAGTGAAGAGTTTGTGCGCGCTCTCGTGCCGGGCTGCAGTTACTCACAGCGCCGAGTGCGTCGATAACGAGTTTTGTTTCTTCATCCTGCCCCATGCTCCTTTAAAGAAAACAAAGAAGAAAAATAATAAGATTACGGATAAATACACAACGGCAGTAAACTATTATTGCAACCTTGAACCACTAAAAATAACAGATAAAAAGGAAATTTGGGTGTCCAAAAATATGTAGCATAAGAAACACATACTAATGTGCATCCAGATTAGCACCAGTATTAAACACATACTTAATTCTGCATTGATGTTATTGTGTAACAGGCTAACGGCATTACCAGTTAACCTGAGGAGGTATACGCTCTACCTGCAGAGGGGATGAATGACCAATGGTAGTGTTCTGTTTTACATCTTGGATGGCTCAAAAGTAACATTAGTAATACACATATGTGGCTCTTCTGAATTCTGAATTGCATGAGTAAGCTACAAACATATTATTAATGTTGATTTTAAAATATTAGCAAGCATAGTGCAACAACAAAAAAAAAGCTCTGTGAAATTCCTCTCCTATTTGGGTTTGAATGTTTAAATCACATCCCAGTCATCAACAATGCAAATAAATCACCAGTACACTTCTGTTAGAATGGCATCATTTATATCGATGATGAATTATCTGTCATTTTCTTGAAATCTCTACCAGATGATCACATTAGCAGAGAATCCACAAACACAAACTCACTTTTGAGACATGCATTAATCTACATTACAGCAAAAGCACAGATGTTACCTTGTCATTAAATCTGGCTGACATTTGGAAAGTATGAGGTTGAGGAGCAAGGAGATTCACAAATAATCTTAGGCTAATTAAAACAGTGTTTAACGTGATGTAAGTTATCTTTAACTACATTTTTTAAGTCCATCCATCAATTTTCAGCCGCTTATCCGGAGTTGGGTCGCGAGGGCAGCAGCCTAATCAGAGAGGCCCAGACTTTCCTCTCCCCAGCTACTTGGGCCAGCTCCTCCGGAGGAATTCCAAGGCGTTCCCCGGACAGCCAAGAGACATAGTCCCTCCTGTGTGTCCTGGGTCTTCTGTTGGGTCTCCTCTCAGTTGGACATGCCCAGAAAACCTCACCAGGGAGGCGTCCAGACGGCATCCTGACCAGATGCCCGAGCCACCTCAACTGGCTCCTCTTGATATGGAGGAGCAGCGGGTCTACTCCAAGCCCCTCCTGGATGACTGAGCTTCTCACCCTTTCTCTAAGGGAGAGCCCAGCCACTCTGCTGAGAAAACTAATTTCGGCCGCTTGTATCCGCGATCTCATTCTATTGGTCACTACCCAAAACTCGTGACCATAGGTTAGGGTTGGAACGTAGATCGACCGATAAATCGAGATCTTTGCCTTCTGGCTCAGCTCTCTCTTCACCACAACAGACCGGTACAATGCCCGCATCACTGCAGATTCAGTACCGATCCGCCTATTGATCTTGTGCTCCAGCTTTCCCTCACTCATGCACAAGACCCCAAGATACTTAAACTCCTCCACTTGGGGCAGGACCTGGTCTCTGACCTGGAGAAAGCAATCTACCCTTTTCCAAATCAAGACCATGGTCTCAGATTTAGAGGAGATGATTCTCATCCCAGCTGCTTTACACTTGGCTGCAAACCGCTCCAGTGAAAGCCAAAGATCATGTTCTGATGAAGCCAACAGGACCACATCATCTGCAAAAAGCAGAGACCCAATCCTCAGACCACCAGAACGGATGCCCCAACACCTTGGTTGCGATTAGAAATCCTGTCCATAAAGGTTATGAACAGAATTGGTGACAAAGAGCAGCTTTGGCAAAGTCCAACTCTTACTGGGAATGAGCTCGACTTACTGCCGGCAATGCGGACCAAGCTCTGACACCAGTCATACCAACCCACCTAACACAGCCCGTATCAGAGGGCCTGGTACCCAATACTCCTGGAGTACCCCCCACAGGGCCCCCCGAGAGAAGCAGTCAAACGCCTTCTCCAAATCCCCGAAACACGTATATTGCTTGGGCAAGCTCCCACACACCCTCCAGGATCCCCCTAAGGGTATAGAGCTGGTCCAGTGTTCCACAGCTATAAAAAACAAAATTAGTAAATTCTTAGATAAAACAAATTGCACCTTTAAAAAAATAATTTTGAAAACAAAACAGTAAGTGGGCAAATGTAGTGTATATTGCTGCTTAACAACAGCAGTAAAAGTCAGAAAAATCCAACTACTGAAATAGAAAAACACATTATGTTTAGCCACCTCTTGCTTTTACAGACATAAAATCCAATTGTTAAACTATATTAATGTTAGTATCTAAGAGAATTTCTTATGCAGTTAAAAAGTTGACTGTTGTCAGACTCAAAGTGTTGACTTGTCAGCTTGGAATAGAAATTCCAATTGTTATAGTGCTAAATGGACAAAATAATGCATGCAATTTAGCTCTAGTTCTTCTACAATAAGTTTGAATTGCTACATTGGCATTTTGGTTGGTGAAGGCTTCAAACCATGATGAAACTTGTTGAAAAAAAAACTGATATTTAAAAAGATTTTAGAAAAAACACTTCGAACATTCACCTTGGCGTTGAGTGGATACTATTTTGGATTCCACAGAAAATACGGCATTTCTGTAAGAAATGTAAAGAACTCAATAATTTTTTGGAAAAGGTAATTTGTAACTATAATTACTTTACTGCTGCAGATATTTCCATTTTAGACATAGGTTCACAGCTATTAGGTTCCACTTTGTTGTAGCAGTGCTATTTGATTTACTGAAGCCCTAAGAGGGACTGCTGACTAGAGTGTACTCCATACCTTGTCTGTTGATGATCAACAAAATACTTCACATGAAAGTTTCTTCAGATCTACTTTAAAACTGGCTGAAAAATAAAACAGTCAGTAATTTTGGTTATTAAGCACTGTGTGAGCATAAAAGTCACATGTGAATTTAGTTTTCACTAATCAATGACTGTATGCACAAGGATTTGATGCCTTTTTAACACTATGATGTCAGGGTTTAATGAATTGATTAAACTGTTGATCCACAGGTAATATTGCTTCAGTTGACATTGTAATATTGATTCAATCTCTGTGATTACCTTTGGTTAATGCGCATCTAATATATATATATATATATATATATATATATATATATATATATATATATATATATATATATATATGTATACTTATTCCAACCTACCCTCTGATTTTCTTGTTTGTTGAGAAAACAAATGCTCTATATTTCGCAGCACACATGCAAACTGCCTCAAATATTTTCTTCGTCTTCGTCTTCGTCTTCGTCTTCCTCCGCTTATCCGGGTCCGGGTCGCGGGGGCAGCATCCCAATTAGGGAGCTCCAGGCCGTCCTCTCCCCGGCCTGTCCACCAGCTCCTCCGGCAGGACCCCAAGGCGTTCCCGGACCAGATTGGAGATGTAACCTCTCCAACGTGTCCTGGGTCGACCCGGGGGACTTCTGCCGGCAGGACATGCCCGAAACACCTCCCCGGGGAGGCGTCCAGGAGGCATCCTGACCAGATGCCCAAACCACCTCAACTGGCTCCTTTCGATCCGGAGGAGCAGCGGTTCTACTCCGAGTCCCTCCCGAATGTCCGAGCTCCTCACCCTATCTCTAAGGCTGAGCCCGGCCACCCTACGGAGGAAACTCATTTCGGCCGCTTGTATCCGCAATCTCGTTCTTTCGGTCATTACCCAAAGCTCATGACCATAGGTGAGGATTGGGACGTAGATCGACCGGTA